CGTCGTGATGTCAGCGAGCTGCCCTCCGCCGAGTACCTGCCCCCTGTTGCTGAGGTTGCCCAGGACATCAGCATTGCTGCTCCCATCGAATCCGCTCCTCTGGCCGATGATGGCTACCGTTACAAGACCGTCCGTCGCCTGAAGTACCGCAAGCGTCGTGATGTCTCCGAGATTGTCAACGAATACCTGCCCCCTGTTGAGCAGGCCGTGATCGATGTGCCCGCCGAGACTCCCATCCTTGCCAATGATGGTTACCGCTACAAGACTGTCCGTCGTGTTATCCGTCGCCACTAAAGATACCCTCCCAACGAAATACAGGAACTGAGGTTGCCAACTAAAAACCAGGCTATGGCAATCTCAAATGAAGTTAACATAAGTGTATTAGTCAATGAGAACGAATAATTCGAGTACAAAAACAAGAAACAATAAACATGTAAAAAAAAAAATACCATTGTCTTTATCGCTGCTCTTTGCTTGCATTGCGCAAACTCCGTAGAAATATCTGCTTATCTTATCTTATCTGTCTTTAGTATTATGCTGACAACAGAGGTCTACAGATAAGATACGGGCACCTGTGGCTCGCCAAAAATCGAGTGAAATAGTTCAGTTACATTTTACAGTTTGCGACGAAAACGAGCTCCAACCCAACGAACAACTCAAAATGATGTTGCTCAAGAAGTTCTCCACCTGTTTGATGATATGTTTGGGTAAAGTTTATGTGATTTAAGTGTGTATGCAAAGTTTTAGTGGAATATATACATATGTCGAATGTGAATGTTGCTGCGGCCATGAAATGAAATGTGCAGAAGCTCCACTTCAAGAAAATACTAAGAACTTGTATTGAGACAGAGAAAATAAAGCCGTGAATTCTGTGTATAAATTAAGTTTATACAGTGCCAAAAACGAGTTAAGAATAAAATAGACTTGTTTCTTATTATGGTGAATTTTCATTTAGTGAACAAGAACTAAAAGAGAATCTACATACATAAAAATAAAATATATACAACGATAACTTATGTAAAAAAATCTGTTCTAAAGTGTTTTAAATTTAATTGATTAGACTATCTAGCTTTTCAGAGTGTAGAAACATTGTAAAACCAAAAAGTTATTAGCCCTTTCACAACAAAGTGACTACAAAATGACTAACCCAGCTAACAGTGAAGAGAATCTTCTTCTTACCTATGAGTAACATTACTATGTGTGTGCGTGTGTCATATATAGAGTCTTAAATGTGCGGGGAGCCGACAATAATTGTGTGCTTATCAGTTGCCTTCCATTGTAGCTGATAAACTTGGCTGGTTTACTCACCAGCGTTGACCCAATCATTGTGTTTGTTTGCTAATGAGTAATAGCTTCAGATTAAATTGAACTGTGTTGTAACTGTATATGTATTTGGTATGGCTATCTAAATTTTTCATTCATTGCCATCATTTGATTCTAAACATATTTTCAATTAATTTAATAAATATTTGATTTGGCTAAAGCTTAATTTAATGCACAGCAAGAGCCCTAGCTAATGCCGGATGTGGCTAAAGCTCAATTATTATTACACCATATAAATTATGAAATACAATGGAAAAACAATTAGTTTGGGCTTTGGCGGTTGACCAGTGCATTGGTCGCGGTCTCTGCGCTTTCGACTTTTTTGAAACAAATGCCAATTCTCGCACGATAATTAAATTTTCGAATATTTACAAAAGGCCGAATGTCAATCGAGACAATAGAGATATAACAATCTAAGTTGACATCCGCAATGGAAACAATAGTAAGCAGAGTAGACGTCAAATGAAGCAAGCCCCCCACGCTTCGCGCCCCAGCCAGTAGCTCTCCACGAGCTCGATCTTCGGTTTCTATTCAATTTATCATCGAAGCTAACGCGCGCGCGCGCAGATCGTTTTATACATTTTGCTTTTGTTTTATTTTTTCGTTTGTTGTTAAATGTGTTCATAATAATTAATTATTAATATTTTAACAACGCTTTGCTATGTTTTTTTTTTTTTTTTTTTTTTTTTTTTTTTTTTTTTTTTGATGAATGCTCAACTTTGTTTTCAATGAGTTCCGTTCTAGCGTCTCATCGTTCGCTCTGTTTGATGCGGACCACACACAGTGCGTTCTTCTAATAATTGTTTGTGTTTATTTTTGTTCGCGCTTTTTGTTTTGCTTTTTGTTTTTCTTTCTTTCTCTCTCTGTATTGATAATCGACAAGGTGCTAAATAGTATAATTTGTATTGTTATTCTTTATTTACAGTTCTATTGGCATGCTGCATGCAGGAAACAGAGGCCACGCGACGCGTGAATCGCGGACGACGCACACTCACACGCAGATACTTTAGTAAGTCAAGCTGAAACACCATCAATCATTATCAATCAACAAAATAGTGGTGACATAATCTAAATCGAAGTTTGCATTTTGTAAATTAGAAGCTAATTGATTAGTTAGAGAGAACTTTTTTTTTCAACTAATCAACATCAATCAAAGCAGTAGACAAATCTAATCAAAGTATTTATGACAGTGGAATTGAAGCTTAAAGAGATATTATCTTAAGTACTTCCTTAAGATATTCAGATGCTGTAATCTAACAGTCTTTCCAGCAACGGGTTTATTACTTTAGGAACTATATTAAACTACCCTCATTCAATAAGCTTCCTCCTCATTACTAATCTCGTGACTCTTCATTGCAGCTGGCCTTGCCATACCCGGCTGGGCTGTAGTCACCTGCGTTGCTGTTGCAGAGCTCCTGCTAGGTGCTGCTCTCTACTTTGCCATGTATAAGATCATTCTGGACAAGGAACCAGAGCAGGCGAGCACCTATACACCGGCACAAACGCACGATCCGTCGTCGGGTACAGCGCAGCCAGTGCAGCCGGCGCAGCCCATGCAGCCACTACATCCAGTGCAGCCAGTACCGGTAACACCTTCGCATGCCACGACAATCGCCTAAAAATAAATAGCCGGAAGCGTTAATCGGTAGCACATGTCATTGAGTCAATCAAGCCAAACACCATACAAAACTAATATGCTTTTTATTTTATTTAAATAAATTTTTTTTTATTAATAAATCGAATAAATTTTTGTTACATATAAAATGTAAATTTGATAAAAGCCTTGCTTTTTTATTTTTATTTATTGCGGTACTATTATCGTTTATTGTCCGAGTGCCTCTTCAATTTGGCTTGGCTTTTGATATTTTTATTGATGCCAATTTGTGATCCAGTTTATCTTCTAATACGTACGTATATATATACATTTGTGTGTCGGCGGCGTCTAAGCGACAGATTGAAAGTTGTCTTAACTATTAAGTAAGGTGCTTTTGTTGTCAACTGAAACTGGTCTTAAGCCAGAGTTGCTCCGGCTTATTTAGCTGACCGTGGCATAACTTGCGGAAGCTATGAAAATTGCATTTAAGCTTACACAATATGTTGCAGACTTTTAAGCGCCACTGTAAATGATAGCTACGAGTCAGTGATGCGCCGTGAGCTAGTGTTTGGCTAGAAATTTGTATGATATGTTGCAGAGTTCAAGATAGTTGAGTTGAAATGGGAAGAGACCGTTTGTGATGTAATGTGATGTGATATGGGTGCAGATTACATATGCGAGAAAATGAGATTTACGTGAAAAAAAATTAAGTTGGGAGTTAATCGAAAAGATGGGAGTTGAAGCAATCAAAGCTATGACTAGAGGTTTCTTTTCATGTATATATCATATATATTATAAGCGAAATTAAATATAAAAATATAAATATAAAATATAAATCATCATTAACCTGAATCTCGCCTTAATCATTACTTAAAAACTCATCATCTTAAAAAAGAATCTTTACCCAAATCTAAAATATTTAACATTAGCCCAGTCACAATCGTTGGCTGTAACATCTGCCGCTATAGATGCCACTTGCTATGGCTGACACTCAATATCACTTGGCTGGCAAAAAAAAAAAAAAAAAAAAAAAAAAAAAAAAAATAAATGCAAGTCGTCCGCTTTGCGCTGACAAATCGAAATTTGTTATAAACGCAATTGATAAATCCCCGAGCGGCACTTGAGCTACAGCTTCAGCTGAGCTGAATCTGCCACTGAAGCTGGTGGTAAAGTTGAAGCTGATGATGATGCTGGGGAAGCCGAGGGGCAGGACCGCACGGTCCGCTGCTATGGCAGCCAAGTAGCTGTAAATGCCAACAATTGCCGCTGCGCAAATCTTTGCTATAGTAACGCGAGGCACATGAGGCCATCTGGGGGGAGAGGCGGACGTGGCCGCTGCCGCTGCCGCTGCAGCCGCATAACCAAAGCGGATTTCAAATTGACACAAAACAGACAAAAAGCAAATCGTTTAGGCGCAACCACCCGCAGACGAAGCAAAAGCAGGAACAGCAGCAGCAGCCACCGCCGCAGCCCCGGCCACAATAGCAGCTCTATACCACACATGCAAGCACAGTGGGCCATGTGGAGCAGTGGTGCACAGACTGTGGGAAATTTGTGTAACGTAGCCAAGTTTAAAAACTGAAAAAGAAATAGCGAAAAAGGCTTCCAAAAGAGGGCAAAGCCGGCGATACAAATGCCGGCAAAGCTAGTCAGGCAGCGCAGCCTGAAGGATACTTTGGTTTTGGTTGGCATAACAAAGCCACACACAAAGGACTTGGTTCCAGCTACGTTGTACATGTGTTTGTATGTGTGTGTATTTGTTGTTATTCTTCTCATATGAGCGGCTTTATTGGCATATATATTGTTGTAACTGCAATGCGAGTTTTAAAGAAATGGGCAAACGTGTTTTGGAAAGCACTTTCGCCGCGATTGAAATTAGATATAAGTATACATATATTTAATAAATATTACTATAACATTTTACAACAATAGAACACTGTGGATTCATGGCGCTTTTAAAGCTATATCTACTCGCATGCTTCAACTACTTAATAATATAAATATCATATGACTACAAAGCTGTTCTTGAACTACTTAAATATCCCACAACCTTAAAAAAAACCTTAAAACATATTTCTTATGTGTTGAATCAAAGCTGTTTTCAAGTTATAAAAACAAAGAAACTGCTCCACATTAAAGCTAATGAATTGGCAAGTTTGAAGTGTTTCTTTACGATGAATCAATCAATGAATAACAGCAGTGATTAAGCCTGCGTAGCCAAAGCTAAGAAAATATTTTCATTCCTAATCTCTGATACGCGTACAGCTTTGTTTATAATCGGTTTAAAAGCTGTTTCAAATCTTTAATGAAAACACAAAATATATGCAGATTCACCAATAGTCAAAATTTTAACTAATATTGTAATTTCAAAAGCTCAACTCTGAAGCACTTCTACTATATCAAAGAGAAAGTTACATGGAACGCCCTTATGAGCCTCTCTAGACAACAGCTCTCTCACTCACTCACTCTCAGTCTCGCTCTTTCTTTGGTAGTGTTAAAGTTTATCAACAAATCGTCAACATTGCTGCTGCTGCTGCTGCTGCTGCTGGCTGACCCAATGCAATGTCTGCAAAGAGTCGCATCATATTTATTTATAGCCCAGCATAAACCCAATGCATATACACACATATTTTCAGCTTGGCCTCAGACTGACCACAAGCTGTATAAAAAAGGTGGCGAACGTGACGCTGGTTGGGGCTGCATCTTAGAGGAGCTGACAGTTTGGCAGCCATTTTACAATGTTATCAATTGCTGTTGGTGTTGTTGTCGTTGCTGTTGTGCTTTGGCCCGGATTTTAGCCATGTACACTTGTTGTAAACAACAACATTAACAAGGGTTTACTCGAATAGAAGCAGCAGGGGTCGGCAGGTGTTGCAGGAGAAGGGACATGCACACACTCATAAGCATTCATTGGAAATCCTTTTCGATTTATTTGCGTATTCAAACGGAAACATTTAAAGTGATTGCGGATGCAAATTTCTGCCAAAGTGTATATCTGTGTGTGTGTGTGTGTGTGTGTGTGTGTGTGTGTGTAGGCAGCTGGAACACACAACAAAAAAGGAGGAGAAAAAAAAACGTGGCTCAGATATAGTATGCCACTACCCTGCCTTGTCAGCTACCCTCAACTGATTTACTTTACCATTCCACTTCTTTTTTTCATTCTTTCTTGGTTTTTCGAGAGATCTGAGAGCGTTTACCAGCGCGTGCCTGGCAACATTTGCGGTTTTTACGCCAACTTCACACATTTTCTTGTGTCGGTTTGCTTTGCTTTTGCTTTTGCATTGGTTTGTGTTTTTATTTATTTTATTGTTGTTGCCCTGCCATGAGAATTTCAATTTTTAACACAGGTGCTTCTGTTTGTTGAAAAAATAAATATCAATCATACGCCCCAGCAGCCGAGCCCTAAGCAGCTGCCGAGCTGCCCCCTCCGGGCAAACGACAAGTTGTGTATTTGTTTCAATTTATTTATTTTTATAAAATATTGATATATATATTTCTCTTATATTTTCATCGGCAATAAGTGAGATGATCATGATAATTATAATTTATTTATTATATATTTTCTTATTAATTTATTCTCATATTATTCTTAACTTTAATTGCACTTTATGCTAGAAATCTGAACTCTTTTTTAAGCTTATTTAAGTAATAATATTTATTTTATATATTCTATAAATTTACGTAATATTTCCTTCAATTTGTTTTTTGTGTACGCAACCCAATTCAAGCTGTCGGCTCTTTGCATATATGTGTGACTCGCAACGTTTCTTATTGTGCTCTATTAATTTCACACTTAACTATGAAAAAAAAAAAATGTTAATGACTGGCAATTGTTTGTGTGGAGTGAGGGGATGACCCGCATTCTAAATAGCCAGCTGATCGGCTGCTCCATTAGTTAACTGTATCCAAAGCACTTTATCGGCAATTGTTGGCGGCGGCGTGCTAATTGCCTCATAGCGATCAGCTAAAGACAACAATATGCTTATCCAACTATCTGTGAGTGCACGTATGCACATAGATATATCTCTTTGAATGACTTACAGCGGTTACTATATCGCTTATCAGTTACAGAACCATGCCAGCTAATGAGACCAATCATATTATAAAAGTTTCAATAGCTGCAACTCGCACGCGCCCATGAAATGTCTACTAATGATTCAGCAAAGAATGCACTTAAAGAAATCTAGATGGTCTCACTGTGGACAAAGAAATGGTCATTTCGCCACTTCAACACAAGTGTGGACGGACCACAGAACGATTTCAAATTGAAATTAGAATGCAACTAAAACAAAACAATTTAAATAAATTAGAAGCAATGCGAATGCGAGCGCACAATGGAAATGTTGTTTTTTTTTTTAGGGGGCAGTGCGCTGAATTATTTAGCAAGTGCAGAAGAGGCGGTCATGGCAGCAATAGCTGTAGCCGAAGCAAATTAAATCAAATAGTTATATCATGCGAATAAATCGACGCGGATATATCGCACATACGCCCCGTTGAACGGCTGGCAGTCAAGCGCTACAGCTACTTACGAGCCTCGCACCCAGAGCTGGGCATCAGTACGTGCATTGCGCTCAACAGCAGCAGATCGTTCCACTTCGCGTGTGCCAGTTAGCGCGAGTGTGTGTATAGATATATATATGTGTGTGTGTGCGCGAGCGAAAACTAAAAAGCGTACAAATATTTGCACAGAAAAGAGACAGAGACAGAGACAGCGTCAGGGACCGCTGTGCGAGAGAGTAAAAGATTCTTGCTGTCTGCTGCACTTACGCTTCTAATTCCCCGGCGTATCCACACGCGTGCTGCAACGGCTACGACGCGGATTTGAGTCGCTGTGCAAGAATCGAGCACAACTCCAATCACCATCGACGACCGTCTTGTACATACACAAAACCTATACATATATACCATCTCGATAAGTTTTTTGTTGCATTTCTGCGGGGTCCATCATGCATACGCCGGCGAGCAAAGTGTCGGGCTACGTTGTCCTGATGATTGTGCAAATAGTTTTCCTGGTACTATTCTGGCTTTTCGTGCGTTACGACAAGTCCGCTCTGCCGGCACGCCTCGACAATGAAGACGCTGGATCAGCAGAGGAACACGTTTCGAAATATCCCCGTGAGTAGCTATCATTTTTAGTTGTCACCTTGCCGACAGCGCCTGAGCTTTTCCCCCTTGCCGCCTCGTCCAGCTTCACTCATTCCCACACCTTCATGTCTAGCCCGTGCTGCGGATTTTCAAAGTAAACGCTGCACTATGCAGGGTCAGGTGATTGAGAGTGCAATCGACTGGCAGATACCCTATACTAAATCGTTATCATAATCCTCTTATCATATCTTCATTCTCATTCTTCTATTCATTCTCAATTCTTTCCCGTTCTGTTTCACTTTGTCTGTCGCTGCTTCCAGCTCGTTTGCAATCCCATTCCCGTTTCCCATTTCGATTTCATTCGCTTTTCCATTCCCATTCTCAATCTTATTCTCGTTTTCGTTCCCATTTCTCATTTGCATTCACTAATTAACATTATTATGATATATTATTATATTATAAAATGTTTTATATGTTTTAACAAGTCGTTAACATTACTTTCTATCTCTTCTACAAATGAACCATTTCCAATGTCAATCATTTTGTGCATAAAAAAGTTGGTTAATTTCTCACTTCTAATGGGTTTGGCTTCCAAAAAAGTTTTGCCCGTTTGGTGAGAAAGGGTCATATGATATCATCAATAGTTAATTGACAAGCAAGTAGCAACTAAATGGCGACAGCCCATCAACTGGCCACTAATGACTCGAGCCAGCTGACTCGATGTTGACTTGTCAGCAAGATTGGCATTTTATCTGAGCTGTCCGAGTGCCAAGTGGGGGGGCCCACCCAGGCTGTCAGTTGCCGATTGTCTTGATGCGATTGCGTGACATTTATATCTGATAAGCTCTTCTGAACGATTTCATAAAGACAACGGCAACGATGACTAAATGAACATTCAGATAATTATAAATAGAAATGGGTGGGAGTAGGAGTGGGGTCTGCACGACTGGGAACTGCACTCAACAACTCAACTTAATTGCTCTCTAATCTATATTATATAAAATTTATGTGTCAAATTTAGCATAGAAATAGCATTAAACATTTTTCTGATTTTTTGCAAAATTAATTACAGTTAAAAGCAAGCACAATACCAAGCTTCAGTTAATCCTGCATATTAAAAGACCGATTACCCATGCCAGTTGACCTTTCCACACACACACACACACACACACTCTGTCTCCCTTTCTGTATCTATCTCAGCTTCTCTTTGTCAGGTGTTTGGTGTCTCATAAATAAATAAAGTTATTTTTGATCATAGTCTACTTAAAGTCCCGCGGTAGCAATTGCATTAATTACTTCTGCCACAGTGGGGCCAAAGCGAATACCAAAAAACAAAACTGGAAGCCGAGGAGACACACAAACACACACACACACACACACAAATGAATAATTAAAGTCATTAATTTCAATTTATGCAAATGTGTCTCTGTAAACAACTTGTTGCAATTCATAATAAATAAATTAAACCGCATTTCACACTAATTGCACCCGCACACCAATTCACACACACACACGCACACACAGCTATATGGACACACATGGTTAGCCTGGCTGTGTCTAGGGCTTCAACTGCGCCTCTGTTGACATCAATCTCAATGCAATTGACTTTTGGCAGCAGACAATTGGCCAATTAATTGCAACGACTTGACTCAATTAATAAGCGTGCCAAGGCATGCGGCAAAAGCTGAGCGACCTCATGGCTAGACCCAGCTGCATTCCAGGATATTGAAACTGCTTTGGTCTATATATCGATTTCTATGTTCTGCCTTGATTTCTGATCTAAGGCTGAGGAATATAATGATTCGAGAATGTGATATTCAACTCTATCTATAAGGTCTCCTTTTGATGCCTTAAAAGGACTACAGATATTAGAGTATAATTTTTATAAGGCTTGGATAGCTCTGCCATATAACCCCATCTCAAGTTTCACTTTCAGAATTCCAGGACATTCAGGTTATGATATTTATTGGCTTTGGCTTCCTGATGACCTTTCTGCGCAAGTATGGCTATAGTGCCACGGGCTATACACTCTTCATGGCCGCCTTGGTGGTGCAATGGTCGGTGCTGATGAAGGGCTTCCTGCACATGGAGGGTGGCAAGATCAGGTGAGCTACAGCGACTACAACAGCTATAAATGTTGCCTGCCAATCCAAATAATTGCGCAATGGCCATTAATTAATTGCATTTGAGTATGCATACATACACACACATACACACACACACGCACACACACACACGCCTGCGAATATCGAGTCCAAAGCAAATAAGTTTAAGAAATTAAGAAAAATGTGCTCAAAGACGTAATGAATTTATGTAATTACTTTAACTTGAGCAGGATTCGCAGGTGCTTCCCGCTTGAGGGCATCGTCGAAGCAAAGACTACTTCAACTAAGTGCCTTGGCAAACAGGACAACAACAACTTTAAGGGTGGGGGTGGGGGGAGAAAGCCGTAGCAAAGGTCACGATGCAAATAAAAAACACTTTAAACTGTTTGCTTTGCCATTTCATTTAGCATCAAGTATAAAATCTTCTTTCATCTTCTTCTCTATCTCTCTCTTTCTCTATCTCTCTCTCTCTCTCGACAGCCTCTCGCTGGAGAGCATCATAGATGCGGACATTGCCGCCGCCGTGCCACTAATCAGCATGGGCGCACTGCTCGGACGCACCACGCCCATTCAGCTGCTTTGCATGTCCATCGTTGAGGTTGCGCTGTTCGCGGCCAATGAGTATTTGGCTTTAAATATACTGAGTGTAAGTGAAAGAGCAACGAACAGGAAATTTGATTGGTGAATAAGATAAGAGATGTGATATTAGAGAATGAGTGAAATATATATTCTTCAGCTCTACTTTACATATATATCCATCATCTTCTTCTAATCCCCCTATCGTCCCTCCACAGATCTGCGATTGTGGTGGCTCTATAACTGTGCACGCCTTTGGCGCCTACTTTGGCCTGGCTGTGGCCATGATGCTGCGCCCATCGAGCGACCAGAACGAGGCGGGCAAGCACGAGGGAGCGAACTATACATCGGATATATTCGCAATGATCGGCACCACTTTCCTCTGGGTGTACTGGCCGAGCTTTAACTCAGTGCTGGCAGCTGGCACTGGCGGCGAGCGGGCCATATTGAACACGTTCCTCTCATTAGCCGCGGCAACAGGTGAGTCACGTGCCACGCTAGCAAGGCGGCGCACAGTTCCGAGGCAATTAGCTGAATCAAGTGACGGCTCAGCTGCCTCTATCTTGTAGAGATATGTACCCTCTCTCTCTCTATATATATAGAAATATTTATATATGTATATATGTATTCCTGTCCGGCCTGCGTTAATTATAATGTTGGCACTGCTATTAGCCGAGGTGGCGCCAGTCGCTAAAATTGAAAAGGTCCAGGCCCTTCAAATCTTTATGCATGCAACTCACAAACTAATTAAATGTCAAATAGTTTCGTTAACACATTTCAAAATTTATTTTGAGCACGTAGCACACATAAAAACGTTGCCAAGAGCCAGGAGCAGGAGCCAGGGCCAGGAGCTGAAGCTGGCTAGCATTTAACTCTATGTATACATCGCTCTGTCTGTCTGTGTATGTGTGTGTGTGTGTGTGTGTGTGTGTGTATATATATGTATGGGTCAACTATGTTTGACCATGGCCATGTCGTACACAACATATAGAGAATGTTCTAAAAGCAAACGCTGGGCCAAGAGGCGGCGCAGGGGCGAAGTGGGCTTGTGCTCTTGGCTCGGTTAATGTAAATAACAAAACACAAATTAAATGTATACAAAAGGGCATCCGGCAATGACTACAGAAACACCAACAACAGCAACGAATGGAACAGCAGCTGAGATAAGCTAGGCGAGCGCTGGACACTGTTCAAGCAGAGCTGAGCGTCGGATAGAGAGCGATAGAAGGGGGCGCAACAGGGAATCTGTTGGCGACACTGAACGGAGGCGTCTGTGGCCAAAGAAGAGCCTTGCCAGGGATATTAAAGCCCTCATGTTACACCAATAGCAGCAGCAGCAGAGGCAACACCTAAACAGTGCCATCAGACCATATGAGAGCGTAGACAAAAAAAAAGAGACAGTAGCTAGTCGAACTTAAAATGCGCTATAAAATGGCAGACATCAATAGTAGAAAATATATAGGAGTTCTTTAAAAGGAAATGAATCACTTTACATTAAAATTATTGATAGAAAACAACAAGAAAAAACGAATTATAGTAAAGTAGTTCAAAAATATTCTACTAGTAGTCAGCTATAAATACTAAATACTCTCTATTTAGATTCTGTACTATCTGTAAGATAGTATATGTACGATATGTACGATAGTATATGTACGATATATATAAGACATTAGTATTCTCTAGGCTCCCACACAAATACTCAACTTTTCTCACCTCACTTTATACACACTCAAATGCATCAAACAGCTCAACATATTCGGCATGCCTTTAGCTGAAAAATAGATATGTATATAATGAAAAAACTGGCTAGCTGTGGGGCTGTGCCGGCGTGGCAGGACATTTTATGCGGAAGGATGTGCGATTAGTTGAGTCAACGTGTGGGGCAGCCTGGGCTGGGCTGTGTGTTTCGCTTTAGGGGCCATGTCGCAACGTTCAGTGGCTGGTTACTTGGCTCGCTAGTTGTGTTGCCTTAATTAAACTAAAGCTGGGATTCAGTTCAATGCCTGAAATTAGAGGCGGTTACCGTTGGGGTGTGGCACACACTCTCTCCGTGTGTGTGTGTGTGTGTGTTGGTCATGCGGGTGCTGCTGCGACATGCATAGCAGACGACGACGCCATTTGGTGTCCAAATGCGGCGCCAACAGCAAAATACGCCCCAGTTGTTGTTTTCACACCAAGCTCGAAACGAGCCTGTGTTGGTCTGGCCTGCCGTCTCGTTTCTAGTCACGATCCGAGTCCTGGTCAGTCTTTGCCGCCGCTGCCCGTCGCCCGCATTGGGGCCAACACAACGGTTAAGCACAAAACACATTTTATAGTCACAACTGACACCATTGGCGTTAATTTAAATTGTTAAATGTGCAAGCAGCAGCAGTGACAACAACAAAAGCTACAATAAGTGAAGTATATACGACTAGCATATACCCTGCCTGGATGGATTCTAAGATCGGTTTTCAGAAGTTATAGTTTAATGGGCATACAAAGAAACTTAAGCTAGCCCATTTAAGGCGTATAAGGTTTGAGGACTTTCATAACATATATTGCCCCAATGCCTATTTATCTATAAATAATATACTTATAGGGATAGCTTCTTAATACCTTAAGATCAATATAGAATTCAGTCTTAGGTTGGTCTATATATATTCCATTTGATATTTATCGATAACCTTCTGCTCAAGCTAATTTATTTACCCGCTTCACATCCTCGGCATACCTTATTTGCCACTCGGTTGCAGGATATTGGGTTTAACAACAAGCTAGAAACAACTGACGCCCCAAATCTCGGTTGCTTACGAAGCTTGCCCGAGCTTTCATTTCAGGGACCTTGGTTGTAAAAATGTTGTTTAATTGATTTTAAAGCCAGAAATTTTGCAGTACTCGTAATTCTGTGTCGCCTGGACGTTGTCAAAAGCTGTTTTTGAAATTGTTGCGGTTGCAATGTTGTTGCTGTTGTTGTTGTTGTCGGTGTTGGTCCGGTTGTGATTTGCTTATTTGCAGTTGCCACAGCCACCGAACGAAACGTCCCGTATTAACTAATTTATGCAAATTATTATTGCTGCAACATATGTTTCGCCATAAAATGAAGATTTTTAAGTATTTAGTGTTATTTTTGCCTAGATTTATGTTTAGCCCAGGCAATAAACTGAAGTGTTCCCCTCTGTTGTCAGGACAACAGCCAACGGATGGGATGCACGAGAAGCAAGCCCGAGAGAGATAGAGAGCGAGATGGAGAGCGAGAGGACTTGTCCGTTGCCTTGTTTACATTTTTATTAGTTTTGTGTTTATGAACTGCGGTTGTGGCCGAACATTGTGGCCCATTAGCTTCGCTTGGGTGATTTAGGAGAATGTTGTCATTACCAACTGGAGCTGTGCTAGAGATGGGCCACAAGCGAAATATTTTATAATTAAATTAAAAAGTTATGATTAATGAAATATTATTAATAAAGTATTTGAGAGGTAATATTCGTGCGAAATCTAGCATCATATCACGTGACCATAGCCACAGATCTCGCCTCTAGTGTCTGAATGCCTTTATTAAAGCGGGTGAATTTAATAGAGCTTCTGCTCTAATAGGCATACATTATAAGAATATGTTTTACAGTTTTCGTTTAAACGTAATTCATTACCTAGCATAAAATATTCGTGCAGTCGTGCTCTCGTAACGATAGCTCATCGCTAAGCAGGGACTGCACACAAACATATGCACGTATTACATACTCACGCGCACACCACACACACTTAAACATTACATTAAATACAGCTGTAGAAGTGTCTTCATTAAAAACTTATACATATACAAATATTTTGATTAGTACTTACCCACATCAAACATAATATCTAATATGACAATAGCTATTTATTTTGCGATGATTTCCATTAATCCATTATTTCACACGCACACACAAAACAAAAATAAAACAAAAACAACAATCAAAGCTGGTAGGGGCATCTCCTTATTTATTTAGATTAAGCTATAATTCCATTTAATGCACACAGCAAAAAAAAATAAGCTGATTTGAATATGGCACTTTCATCATTTAATAATATTTAAAAATATTTTCACAGTACTGCGTGCCGGCACTGTATTTTTCTACACAAAAAATAAATAAATAGCACACACAAACACAAGGTAGTTTTCACTTCGTCTTCTCATAATTGCACATTTTGCGATAGGTTAAGCAGCGCCAAGCTGTGTTCTTTACATATGTATTTAAGATAATTTTTGCACATTAACTCTTAAACGAATCAAATTTCTAGCACTATAAATTTACGACAGCCACTCCACTCGCACCTTTTTGAGTAATAAGTGTGGCCAGAGTAGAAAGAAGAGAGTGATGCCAGAAAACTTTCGATCGTGCATAAATATCGCTGCTTGCCAAAATACTAACAACGTCACATATCTAAAGTATCGATGGCGCCAAGCTCTAAAAAATACTGCTGTATACATTTTAAGCAAAGAGAAATATTGACGAGCGCACATACATAAATTGAATAGATAATCCAGCTGCTGCCTGCTGATAACGTAAAGAGTAGTAGAGCACTTGAGTTGCAGTTGATGAAGCACTCATTCCACTGATGTTGCTCTCGTTTTAACCGTATGCTTCTCTGCTTTCAGTGACCAGCTTCGTTGTATCGGCGCTTGTCAGCCATGAGAATAAATTGGATATGGTGCACGTGCAGAATTCGACGCTCGCTGGAGGCGTTGCCGTTGGCACCGTTTGCAATCTGCTTCTCGGAGCGCATGGTGCTGTCTTAATTGGCATTATCGCCGGCACGATTTCGGTGCTAGGCTATCGCTATTTAACCGTAAGTTGAACAACCCTAAAGACGAGTTGCATGTAGTCCATGCAAATACGAGGCGTTATTCTAATCGGAGTAGGAGTTGGAGTTGCACTGGAAGTGGAAGTGGGAATACGAGTTGGAGTTTGAGGTGGACTAGCAGACCCGGTTACATGCTATGAGCTTCCACTTTTGTGCTCCGGTCCATCGTCTGTTGCGTTTTAATTAGCGCGCCTAGTCGAAAAATGTGACGCTAATGAGTAAAGTTTGTTGCCCGGCGGCCGCTGCTGATGCACGTACAAACTCTACTCCCTAACCATATATCTTTCTATCGCCCTCTCTCTCTCTCTCTCGCTGCGTCCGGCGTATGTCTATGTGTGTGTATATAAATGTACACCTTTCTAAATGACCCAACGGCCGGAGCTGCTGTCCAGTTGCATTTTGCACTTTAAAAACGTTTAATTACGTGCCAAAAAAGGAAAAGCAAGGTTCATACCCTTTGAACTTTTACATGCGAGGCCAAAGAACTTTGTGTGTGAATTTATGATTCAGAAGTGAGCGGCTTAGTGATATACCCTAGCTTTAAATGACCAGCGATTCTTATAAGAGACTCACCAATACGAATTACTCCATTTCCTCCATTGCCTATTGTCTATTGTCTTGCTCATAATTCCATGTTTAATACCCTGTAATTTGCAGCCCTGGCTGACAAACAATCTGCGTTTGCACGACACCTGCGGCGTACACAATCTGCACGGCATGCCAGCGCTCATCTCGGCCATTGCGTCGGCTATCTATGCCTCGTTGGTCACTGTGGATAGCTATCAATCGGAGCTGCAGGATATATTCCCCGCTATGGTGGACAACAATGGCACAACAACCAAAATTATGGGCGTAAGTGGGCGTTGCAACAGCTGCAATTAAACAACGGACTTAAATGCTATTATACCATCCAAACAGGGACTCGGCCGCAATGCCAGCTCACAGGCAGGCTATCAACTGTTTGGCATTGCCTTAACTCTGATTATAGCCACTGGTGGTGGCATTTTGACAGGTGTGTTAACTGATCAACTAACTATATGCCTATACATACTATCTATATATGTACTGTATATCTGTTTAGGTGCTGCCTTGAAGTATGCCAGTTTTCGCAATCTGAAAAAGGACGAACAGCATCAGGACGAACAGTATTGGGAGGTGCCCGCTTTGGAGTCGAAGGAGGAGTAAAATTTGCTGCCTTTGCCATTTGATCCAAGTTTCGAATCTGCTTTAATATTTTTTTGAAATTATATCTTTTTTATTTTATAATCTCTACATTATATGTATATATATATACTTGACAAATTTCTTGTCTGCATTCAAAAAGTTGCCATGGCATTTTGTTTTGATTTTTGTTTTATATATGCATATTTTTTAATTCAATTATTTGCTTAACTCCAGTCAACATTTGTACGGCTTGTTGTGCAGCTTGTTTCGTTTAATTTTTGTAGACATTTTGTCGCATTCAATTAAAAAGTTGCAAAAATTTACACATTTAATTAGCGCAGCGCACGACGGCAAAAAAAAAAATGTAGAAAAAGCAAAAATCTGTTTAAAATCCGAGAGAAATGTATTAGCCATGAAAATATTGTTTAATTGTGACAACTTCAACTCTGTATAGCTCTACTATTTCTATCTCTTTCTCATACCCCGCTTTTTCTCTCTCTCTCTCTCTCTCTCTCTCTCTCTCTCTCTCTCTCTCTCTGTCTCTTTCTCTTACTGCTCTGCTCTTATTGCAATTGTTATTTTTGTGAATGCGTTTTTTTAATGCTGCGCGCAAATTTTAATGGAATTAAAATCATGCAAACACACACACACACACACACAATCTCTCTCTGGCTCAGACTCTTTTGTAGGAAAAGTTTAAATATGCCCCATGACGAACTTTTGGCTGGCGCCGATTCAGTCGCCAACTTTAATTGGCGCCCATTTCTGTTGCGCAACTGGACTGCAATTGTCCCAGCCAACAATCTCTATGTAAGAGGCGTGCTGCACTAATACAGACACACACCAACATATATATATATATATATGTATGTATATCTACTACCACTAGCCAGCTAATTAAGTGGCCCAAGACAAAGTGTCAGCTAATTAGCTGACTTGCTTCTTGGTTCCGACTAGCTTAGCCGGCGATTAGCGCACCTGCTGAATAAAAACAAAAGCAAACCCAATAATGTCTTTTAAATGTAAACCCTGTCCCTGTCTATGGCACTGGACCTGCTCGCCCACCCACACTTCCACGGGCTGTTCGTCTTGCGTTACGTTAAGCGGACGGCGAAACTTCTTAGCCGGATTTGTGCAGCCAAAGCGAGTGAAAGGGCGACCAAGGCACAAGTGGATCAAAATCATATTGGTGGATAGTGGGATAAAGTGGACAAGGAAAGGATTTGTGCTGCAGTTTGGGTACAAAGATAGTTACGGGCATATAAAGAGCACGGTTAAGCTAGTTAGGTGCATATATGTGAATAATAAAGGGTTGCTATAATTTGGTTAGGACATGGTTAAGCGAGAGCCCATAAAAGTATGCTACACATTTTCGTAAGAGATAATATAACTAGTCCTACACTAGGACTAATCAATATAAAATATTAAATTCTATTTAATTTCGACAAGTTATGCCTGTAGCTTTTCTAATTATACAGACATATTGTCCTATGCGTCATCTCTCTATGATACATACATAGAGTATAAGGCATTCAAGCTGCTTTATACATATGAAACCTAAAAAAACTGTAGTTAAATGCTTAAAAGCAGACATAATAGAATGTCACATACACCCACACACAGACACAGAGTAACACTCATACACGCACCCACTTACCCACACACTTAAACACACGTGTAAGTTGACTATGAGCAAAAATATTTAGAGAGATGAAAGGACGACAAAAGCGTGCAGTCAAATAAGTGGCCAAGGATGCGAGCGATGTCTGTCAGAGCCGAAAGGAGATGGAGAAGAGAAGGAGGGTGAGTCAGAGTGAGAGGGAGTGAAACGGGAGTAAGAGAAACTGGGCAGTGCAATTTGGCAAAGTATTCCCCGGTGCGCTGTTTGACTATTTGGCCAGGCGAGGCGATGGCTCAGACGTCTGTGTACTTGTCATCCTGTGGGTGTGTGCGTATGTGTGAGCATTGCTGTATATATGTGTGTGTCATGTTGTCTAAGTGCTGTTTTATTGCATGTGGTTGGACTTTGGGTCGCCTGCTTGTGCACCAGACAGATGGACACTCACACGTCTATAATAATAATTAACAGCATGAAAGGCAGCCACGTCGGCAGCGAGTCAAGGCTGAGACCGAAGCAATGGCAAAGGCAGGGCCAGCAACAATGGCAGTGGCAGCGGCAGCAACTGTAGCGGGGGCCTAGGGGAGAAGCAACCTTTCGGCGGCTGTTGTCTGCTGTGCTCCACGAAGTATGAAACATATTTTATGCATGTGACTATGAAACGACAGTCATAAAGATAGCAGCAGCAGCAGCAGGAGAAGTAGTGGAAACGCCACAATAGTAACAGCAGCAGAAGTCACAACAACAGCAACAGCTGCAGCAGCAGTAATAGCAACAGTCACAGCAACCGCAGCAGTAGCACAAATAATAGCAGCAATAGCAACAGCAGCAGCAATAGCAACAGCAGCAGCAGCAGCAACAGCAGCAGCAGCAGCAACAGCAGCAACAGCAGCAGCAGCA